ATTATGTAAAAAAAAAATGCTAAAATGAATGTCATGCAAAATGGATTACTTGTAATCATTAACAGACAAGCTGGACATATGCTCATCTTAAAATTAATTATATAACCGAGTTTCAAAATATTGTTATTAAACTTTGATTTAAATCTTTACTTTATAAAAAGGTAAATTTCCAATGGAAATCCAGATTTTAACCAAATAAAACCTCACTGTTTTCTTAAGTTAAGGAATTTATGAAATGTCTTAACACGATCATTACCCAGATTTGACGTCATGTGGGTGACAAAAAAAAATGATAGCATTTTTCAAAGTGAACTCATTTTGTCGTGTTCCTTTCAATGTCCTTCAAATTGTGGTGAATAAAATTGGACAGTATATGCAAATGTTTATGGAACATAGATTGTTATTAAAAATTCATTACATTACATACATTATTTAATCATTCATTTTGCTTCACGGACTTTTGGCCAGGAACTCCTGTTGACAAAAGTTTCTTTTTACTGTGAGAAAAAGCAAATAAATATGTTTGTTTTTTTTAATCTACCCATGAAATTATTTTTCGAGGTTTTTGTGACTTTATAATTGTACTTATTTGGTCTATACACAACTTTTTCCCGCAATTACGTCATAATAACTGAGCGACGCCAATACTAGTCACGAGACTCATCCGCCATTACAACCGTGAAAACTGTGAATGCCTTAGTACTACACGATTATTGAAATTAAACTGAAAACCTCTTTTATATTTTTTTTAAAAATTGTCAATCTTATTTAAAAACAAAGAAAGTTTTTTTTTTACTAATTCATTCATGATTTATTCTATTTATCACGAGATAGCTTGTCCACGATGTTGCATTTGGCTCCCCTTGAACGTACTGAATTATACGGATGAAAACGGAATCTAATTCAGTTTTTCTCACCTGGGAAACTTAGATTCTATGTACTGCATGTAAATACAACAGGGCTTGTGGTCGAGGATTCACTTCAATGGGTAAAATAAATGTAATGATAATGAAATAAATTAATTTTTTCTGTAAAGAAATTTAATACAGTAAGTGCATGGAAAAAGGGAACTAATCCTCACATTGGTTAATTTGTTTGTTTGATATTCAAGAGCATCATGGAAGATCAATCTGAAATCAATGTTAGGGTTTTTAATTTGTCAGAGCTTGTTTTCTTTTCCATTTGTAATTGTTTATATTGCCGTTATACACTAGGGACCATACATTATAATATTAATATAATTATGCAGTTAAATAATAATAATAAAAAAAAACAATATTTTTTTTTCGAATTCACTGCAGGCGGAAAGTTGCTAAAAAAACATTGACAAGAAAAAAAAACATCGGTTAGTAAATTATTGACAATAATAATACCGCGGTTATCTCGTGATTTTCACCTTTAAACAATAGGGTCATTTGATTTTTAGTGTTCAAATTATGCTGTGAACTTGATACGTACGTATATTTCGGGGTATGGGGAAATTATTATATAAATACATGCACTGATGTTTATTTTCATTTTTAAAAGTCTCATATATTAATGTAAGTTTCATAAAACGTCTTTGAACAGAAATAAAGCGCAAATAATATGCTATTTTCTCGTTGTCTTCATCATTAATAAAGGTCTAATTGCAAAAAATGAAAAATAAACAACGTTACACGAATGTAAAACAATAATGAAACGTATACTCAAAATTTTTATTGTAAAAAAAAGTATTGTACATGTAGGAAAAACATTGTCAGCACTGTTCAAGATTTTTTTATTAATTTTTTTTTTTTCGTAAATCAAAAAAAAAATTACTTTTGCGCAGTGATGCATGGTTATATGCACATTTTGAAAATGTTTTTTTTTTATTAATTTAAAAAAGTTAAAATAAAATCAGTTTGAAATACTTTTTGGAGTGTTTGTTTCTTTAGTTTTGTCATGCATAACTACGTATCTGATGCTTAATTTTACTATTTGCTATAATCCTTTTCAAACTGACAGCTTAGGAATTGGAAAATTATTAATATTTAACCATATGATCTTATGTGTACTGAAAATCAGACAGTAGCTCTATGTATATTAATATAATACCCAGGCACATGTGCGTTAGATCTAACCTCACAAAATATTCAGATTAACTTTTCAGGTTTGATGAAATACATTTTACTATTCAAAGTAATGTGAAAAAAAAAACTACTTTTTTTTTTAAATCAAACTCTTGCCAACAAAATCGAATGTTGCATGTATAATTTTTGTAAATCTGGGTTTACGTTTTATTAGGAGCACTTTAATTTTAAAATAATCGTTGATAAAAGAATGAAGAATGCTGCTTTTAAAATAATTATAACTGTCCAACGATTTGTTTTTTTTTTATATCTTCGCTGTCGTAATCTAATGTATACATAAATAAAATACGAAAACACATATAAACTGTAGAACATAAAGAAAAAGACTAAAAAAACAAGATATTGAGTTTTCACTTTAGCCTATACATTGAAGGTAAAATTGCAGTCATTTATATGTCGGAATTCGGACCCCCCCCCCCGCCAGATACCAACCTGCTTACGACCTCGGCTCTACCAAAATCCCTTGTCTTATAATTCCCCTCCCCAATTGTAACGCAAAAACCTGCATCTGCGCTGGTGACTGTACGTGTGGTGCCCCCTCCCCCCAAGAAGGATGTCTTTATGAAAATCTGTTACCTTTGTTTGGTAATTTTTGGATAAAAGTTTATAGAAAGGAGGTCGAGACGTAACAATTAGAAGTATTCAAAGGAAAGACTTGGATGTCCTAAGGAATATACTTTTAAAATATGGATGTCCTATTGCCTAATTTCAAAAGATATGTCCAATGTCAAAGTTTTTGTGATACGCACATAAAAGAAAACTGGTCATTAAAAGTAAAACTGTATAACTGTTGCCGTATTGATTACTCAGCTATGTTAAGGACCAAAATGGAAAATGTGACATTTGCACCGTTCTAATTACTAATTACTATTATTAAAAAGTATCACTTCTTTTAAAAACTGTAACAAAGCAACTGAAAACTTGTGGAAAATGTAATATAGATGTTAATGGATAGGACCGGGCCGTAGTTATTACCAGTTATATTGCACGTATCAGCTGTTTGTCACGTGACTTGAATATATATAGAATTGTTAGGCTGAATATAGGGAATGTTGATAGTGCAAGGGCATACGCTTGTTTATCAAGAAGAAAATTGATGCACATTAAAAGATGTTAATTTCCTCTACCCAGAAAGTGCTGGGAGCTAGTCAGTGTTGTTTGAGAAGTACCGAAAACTTTGCCGAAAATGCTCATGATAGCTTAAGATTTAGACTTCGCGTTAATTCTGTTATAGATAAAAATAATGTTATGTCAATCAGGATCAGCTCCCAGCATTTTTCAAAATATACATTATATAAGCAATAAATGTTCCAAATTTCAGCTCAAACAAAATAGATTATGCCCTTGCACTTTTGATGAAAATCACGAATACGCCCATCTTTTTAGCGATACTCTCTACATTCCCTATCCCTGTGCAGCTTCAATGCTACTAGATTAATTCATACTCTTTACACATTGTATTTAATGATTTATTTTCTTTTAATTTTAATGATTATATTCTAAAATTAGCAACGGTAACATATTTATTTAGCTCGAAATAATTTAACCAGTGAATCAAGTCCTCTGGACCATCTGTGATGCGTGCGTCATGTCAAGGCTGATGACGTCATATTTGACGAAAGACTCTCTTCTATTACTCGACTGTATTGCTTTTAAGTATTGCAATTTTACACGATTTTATAAATAATCGATAACATAATTATATACAAGTTGTTATTTACGCATGACCAAGTCGTTAATTATTTTTTGTAGCTTTTGTTAAATTTCAATGAATAAAATTTCCAATACGGTGTACAAGGAATGCGAACTCTGACCTTCTTTAACATAGCTGAGTATTTACATCACATACATCAGAAATCTGAGGCCATTAAATACACAACTATCTTTGAATCTCTAAAAAAAATAAAAGAGGTCAAAATGATAAAAGGCAACGGGTCTTCCAACGGAATTAACCCCATGCTGAGGGGGGGAAATGTTACCGTGGTTTTAGATAAAAATATTTTAGAGCCTAGTTTTAAAATATTTCCCTTCAAATTCCTTCAGGTAAAATATCAACAACAAAAAAGCGTACATATTCTTATCAGAGGTATAAGATATTTATGAATGAATATATTTATGAATATTAAGACGGTTTCTGAAGAGGGACGCGTGACGTGGTGAGCAAAGATTTATGTTCATAAGGTTTAAATTAAGATGCCTTTTTTCGTAAAAAAGAGTTTCAGCTGATCCATTATAACAATTTATCAATATCATTTAATTTAAGTGTACACAGGCAAAAGTGGCTCGCATGAACTTCATATGAAATTCGCACGAATATCATGCGAATTCTTCGCATGAAAAGGAGACGAAAAGGACCATGCATGATATTCGCATGAAAATATCATGCGATTTTGACATGAAATTCGCACGAATATCATGCGAATAAAAATTCACACGAAATTCATATGAATTTTTTTGCTACTTTCTTTACAGATCTTCATATGAATTTCGTGCGAATTTCATGTGATATTCATATCAAATCCATGTGATGTACACAGTATATATTTTTCCTAGTATATTGGACTTTCAATTCTTTTAATCCATTTGATGAAAAGTATAAGGAAATTCTAATACTTAGATCTGTATATGAATTAGTACAACTTATCATCAAGGAACTTCACTGTTACTGATATTCAAAAAAAAATGCCATAAGTACAATCTCAAAATCTGATCCAGCAAATGAATGAATGAGCTTTATCTATATCTTAATTTGAAACTGCTTAATTTGAACACATGCAGATTTTGAGGAAGTACCACTATGATTATCCAAGTTTTTCTTTTGATGAACAAACAACTGGACACATACTGTTTCTTAATCTTCTTTATTGAATGCTTCAATTTTTGACAATTATCTCTGTTCAAGGGCCACCCATATGTTTGGAGATAATGTTTCATCTGCAAGAGAAAATAATTGTAATGACTACTTGGTATCGGTAAATGAAATACAGACATGAATTTTACAACTGCATTTTCAAAGTCAATATTTCCATAGCACATTAAAAATACGAACAAATGTATACATGTATATAATGTATATAGCAAACTCATATCATCCTATGTTCAATTTAGTATTTATAGGTTAAACTTATATTGCCTACACTTTAAATGATCTTTAAAAAATTCAGAATCAAACATCATAAATTATAATTAATTCAAAATCATACATCATAAATTATAATTAAAAGTATATAATGTTTCTTAAGTATAAAATTATTGACAAAAAATGAAAACAATTTTCCTGCAAATGACTTTAAACTTAAAAACAATCTTGTGTCAGGTTTCAAACAAACCTTGAGACAATATTGTCTCTGTTTCATTGACCCAGATCTGATGATGCAATTTGTATCTGTTGCAAGGGAATAAAAGCAAAATTTACCTACCATTGCATCTATGTTCCTTCTGAAGGCATGCCAGAAATCTATGGCTGTGATTAGTATGGTAACTGGATTTTTTCTGAACAATTTGTGTCCATCAGCTACAGCTCTCTGTAAAGCAAAGAACAAAGATAAATCTTAAAATATTTTTAAGACTGGTCATGAATTTAATTTATATCTCATTTATTTTTCTTATTATGAAATTAAATAACAAGATCAACTTTTTAAAGCAATATTAATAAGTTTGAATCTTTGTAATTATTTAAACGGTCATGAAAAAATAATTTATGCACTAATTTTGCCTCCGTTTTCAAAGATTCTTGGGTTTATATTGTTTTTGCACTGATGTCCATCTTTTTGTCTTCCGGTATTTGTCTGCTAAAACTTTAACCTTACCCATTACTTATGAGTGGGTGGAACTTAATATATATGGCTTCATATTCCACAGGTGTATTTCTTGTGACAAGAACTTTTTTAGAGGGTACTATAAAATTTGACCTCTTGACCTTGATATTCAGGTTTGAGCCACTTTTACAAAAAAAAATCCCTAAACTTTAACCTAAGCTATAATTTTGAACATCTAGTGCTATCAATCTGATACTTCACATTAATTTGTAATCATTGTGACAAGACCCTTCAATGAGTTTTTTTTACCATTTGGTCTTGACCTAAGAGTTTGACCCACTTTTAAAATCTATAATCTAAGCCATAACATTTTAACAGTTAATACTAAATGTCTCACATTTCACAGGTTTATTCCATATGACTAAACCTTCCTTCAAATGCTAACAATTTTGACCTTTTGACATTGACCTTTGAGTTTGCCTTGTATTTCAGAAACTTCAGTCCTTGCTTTAAACTGGCATATAGGCATTTATTAAAGCATAAACAACTAAACATAGGATAAAACAAGAGGCCCAGGGGCCACAGCGCTCACCTGAGAACATCGGCGAGGAAAAAGCACATATCAAATCAGAACTGAAAGTTTATGAGGTGGGGGGGGGGTCTTGAATGTTACCCGCACCCAACCAAGGGGTTCATGTTTGAACAAACTAGAATCTACACTACCTGAGGATGATTCCATATAAATATCACTAATCATGGCTCTGAGGTACTTGAAAGGAAGATTTTAAAAGGTATCCCTATATATCCCAATGTTAAACTTGGGTTGGCCATTTTGGCCCCACCCTAGTCCCAGGGGTCATGATTTGAACAAACTTGAATCTATACAACCTGAGGATGATTCCACATGAGTTTCATCTTTCCTGGCCCAGTGGTTCTTGAGAAGATTTTTTTAAAATGCCATTAATTTTTCATTAATTCATACTTATGTCCACTTGAAAGAGGGCGTGGCCCTTCATTTTAACAAACTTGAATCCCCTTTACCCAAGGATACACAAGGAAAATGGTCTAGTGATTCTTGAGAAGAAGATGAAAATGTGAAAAGTTTACGACACGCCTACGAAAACTACACCAACAGAAACTTCTGATCAGAGAAACTAGATTACTTGAGCCTTTGGCTCAGGTGAGCTAAAAAAGTGTCCCAACAAGATGTGTTTGTGAAACACTATGCGCCCAGCGGCAACAAAGTTCTAAAAAGCAATTTTTAGCAAATATGTCTCGGTCAATTTCACACAATCATTGTCCTTATTGTTAGTTGAAAGTGCTTAATTAGTGGAGTATGCATACCAAATATGAAGTCTGTATCTCTCACGGTTCAAAAGTTAAGGCGAAAATTCGAAAAAAGCTATTTTTAGCATATAGGTCATAGTCAAGGTCACAAAGTCATTGCCCTTAGTGTCAGTTGAAAGTGCTTAATTATTGAAGTATGCATACCAAATATGAAGTCTCTACCTCTCACGGTTCAAAAGTTATGGCGAAGGTTAAAGTTGACAACAGACAGAAAAACAGATAAACAGACAAACATACAAACAGGACAAAAACAATATGCGTCTAGAATAAATTCGGGCGCATAAAAAAATGATAAAATACTTACATGTACTTTTGACAAATCGGGATGATTTAGGAGTTAGGACTACTTTGGTATTTGAATTCTTATCCTTGTGATGACAAGTAACTGTGCCTACAGAGAAACTCAAAAATGTCAGATAATGTAGGATCAATAACAATGAGTTCATTATCCCTTTGTCATTTTATTTAAAATATGTATTCTATAAATTAACGAAGATTATATTTACATTAAAGAAATGCAAGATAAGCAAAAATAAGCTGAATGGTTAAGGTTTTGCTACATGCATACATGTAATAACAATATCCTTTTTATAAAACAATGAATACTGTAAACCAACTATTATTCGCGTGCGAGAAACTTTAGCGAACTTCGCAAGAGCCTTATCATCGCGAATATTTCTCCCCACGAACCGGTCCTAAAAGTATATTTGTCTATGAAAAACAGATGCATAAAGGCTTTAATTATCGAGACAATTAGAGGTCGCGAAATAGTTTATCCCTGGTAAATCGTGAAATAAAGTTGTCGCGAATAAAAGATGGTTTACAGCACCTCAGGCTCCGCAACAAATATTAAATTTCTCTCTTAGATTTTTTTTTACCTGTTTACATGTATCATATCTATAATCTTGGAGAAGCCATCAGTGTGGTATAATGAAGTGCAACGCAAATACCTGCAAGTATAGAATACAACATTTAATAAATATTTTTGAAACTAATATATATTTTTTAAATATGTACAGTACAACTCATTTTTGGGAATTTCAGTCTTGCATTCTAGATATAATTTAAATAAGCCCCTTTATAACTGCATATATTTTGGAATTCACACAGGTTCTTGTGGACAGGATAGTGGGGTATTTTTTTTTGTTGACGGGTTGAAAGAATTTTCAAGGGGGGGGGGTGTTTAGGTTCCATGTTCTTTCCCCCTAAAAATTGTTCGCCCGATTTCCCGTTTGCCCAATTTCTCATTCGCCCAGAGTCCGCTCACCCTAAAGTTTGTTCGCACAGGGTCTGTTCGCCGTAATTGATTAATATGTAGAAAAATATTTCGGATGAACGAACTCTGTGCGAACGGACTCCTGGGAACAGATAGATCGAGCGAACGACCACGGGGTTTGAAGAAGAAAAAAATTATTTTACATGTACAAGTAGTTAATTACTCAATAGGATACCGGGTGGAGCATGGCTTTTAAAGTAGGAGGTTCATAAACCTGGGAAAAAGTATTTGTATGGATAATTTACCAGAAAAGTTTTTGAAAAAGAAATAATTTAATTTTGTTTGTATTCTTGCCTCTTATTGGTTGATTTCCAAAAAGGAATGCATAACGTTTTGTATAATCTGGTTTGGTATGGGGACACACCCCCTTGACAACCAGCTGAATCATCTGTATCCATCAATCCCCTCATTTCCAGTCCTTGGGATTCATGGAAATTCCAGATTTAATGAATGTACCTTTAACTTCAAACAGCTGCTCGATCTTACCCCATGTAAACAAGCATCATGGCTGCTAGAGCCTAGATCTATGTATCAGTTTTTACCTCCCCTCGCTTCCCATCACTTCCGTTACTACGGGTGTATTATTGCGCGGTAAATTTGAACTCATAAAAACAACACAATTTTACACCCCCAGTTGTTTAATTATTTTAAGATTAAATTATAAGGAATGACTCTAATTCTTGACCAAATTAGCGAGTATAATATGGTTTGGGTCAGTTTACGCTTGTTTATAATCCGCTTCGCGGGTTATAAAGCGTAAACTGGCCCAAACCATATTATACTCAATAATTTGGCCAAGAATTTAGAGTCATTCCTTAAAAGAAAATATATCTAAGAACTGAGAATCCTATTTTGTTAAAGGGGGGGGGACATTTTGTATTGAGGACCACATTTCTTTATACATTACAACTTTAGCTTTTCACTCAAAATTTTCTAAGGTACCGTAAAAACACAAACAAAAATTTTGAACTTAATTTCTACTTTACTTATTCCTTTTTTTTTTTTTGCAAAGCCAAAGGGAGGGTTGCAACCCCCTTAGATTAATCTGTGTCTTGGGACAAGCCCTTAGTGACTGGTTCGCCACTATGTGTGTTATTTGCTTGCTGCAGTTTATATACCAGATTTAGGTGTAACAGGATCTAACCAGAAGTCTCTGTCGAGACTGTAGCTCTACTGGTTTGTACTTATCAAAAACCATTGCACTATTTTATGTATCTTAGTGTAGTCTACTTGTGTGCCAACTTATTTTGAAATCAAACTAAAACTGTAGAAGGAGTAGCGTTTTTAAAGGAATTTCAATGAAAATACTATTTTTAGCTGGCAACACCATTCATCGAAATCAAAAACCCATGCACTATTCTATGTATCTTAGTGTAGTCTACTTGTGTGCCAAGTTATATTGAAATCAGACCAAAACTGTAGAAGGAGTAGCGTTTTTAAAGGAATTTCACTGAAAATTCTATTTTTAGTAACCATGGCAACACCGTTCAACGAAATCATAAACCGATGCACAGTGCACTATTCTATGTATCTTAGTGCAGTCTACTTGTGTGCCAAGTTATATTGAAATCAGACCAAAACTGTAGAAGGAGTAGCGTTTTTAAAGGAATTTAACAGAGAATTCTATTTTTAGTAACCATGGCAACACTGTTCAACGAAATCATAAACCGATGCACTATTCTATGTATTTTAGTTTAGTCTACTTGTGTGCCAAGTTATATTGAAATCAGACCAAAACTGTAGAAGGAGTAGCGTTTTTAAAGGAATTTCACTGAAAATTCTATTTTTAGTAACCATGGCAACACCGTTCACCGAAATCATAAACCGATGCACTATTCTATGTATCTTAGTGCAGTCTACTTGTGTGCACTATTCTATGTATCTTAGTGTAATCTACTTGTGTGTCAAGTTATATTGAAATCAGACCAAAACTGTAGAAGGAGTAGCGTTTCAAAGGAATTTCACAGAAAATTCTATTTTTTGTAACCGTGGCAACACCGTTCATTGAAATTAAAAACTGATAAATTATTCTTTGTATCTTAGTGTAGTCTACTTGTGTGCCAAGTAATATTGAAATCAGACAAAAATTGTAGGAGGAGTAGTGTTTTGAAAAATTGTTTACAGACAGACGGACAGACAGACAGACAGCAGAAGGACGCCGGACGCATTACTATCGCATAAGGTCTTCTGGTCTCTGACCAGTAGAGCTAAAAACAAACCAAAACATTAGGCCTACCCTAGTTCACTAGGCTTTTTCTATAATATAGATAGAATGTTCTATCGTTAAAATGATATTGTCCTACGGACCCGGTTTAACGATAGAATTCGTTCCGTGTATTCGTAATGTAGCAGAAAGAAACACGGGCGATAACTCGCATAGTGCATTTAACAGGAACAATCTAGAGAGTTCCGAATGTAGTAATTTGAATCGAGAGAAAAACGTGGAGAAAATTAATTGGATTTTCGTATATATATGGATTATTTTATGGGATAAAAGGCATAAGCAATCTCAAAAAGGTTTGTTTTGATTATTTTGGTAGTTATTCCCAGTGCAAATAATTTTATATTCTTCAAAATCGTTTCGGAGCGGATCCGCTCCGATTTGCTACATTACAAGTATATGGGACGTATTCTAATTGTGGTGAGGGCCTGTACCGAGACACAGTTAGATTATTCTAACTATCTATAATAGCGAGCGCAGCGAGCGTCGCGAAGCGACGCTCGCAAAGCGAGCTCAATAGACTAACGTGTAAGAACAGAGGAAATTCGGATTGAAATCTGTACATACGTCAGCCAAATTTCTCTGTGCAACATTCCCAGAATTCCTGCACTACCCAATGTCCTTTGCGCGAATATTGCCGAATAAATAAATAAATAATACCGTAAAGCATATATCAGACTTTCAGTTTGTAGAGATCTTTCAAAGAAACAAGAAATAACTCTGCAATGTTTTTCGACAAAAATTGCACTAGTTCTATAGTTTCAAACAGACGCTCGGCTGTCTCCGTAAGCTCCGACGAGCCTTGTGACGTCGTATGACGTCACAGCTAGTCGAGATATCTCGTGCGGCTTGACGTTCGAAGTGGCTGATCTCAAGTGTTTTTGATGGTACAACTGCGCTCGCCCCAACGGTATTATTGTAAGAAAAGACTTTTAACTTAAGCAGAGAACCTGTACCACAGGGGCTTGTGTAGAGAAAATAAATCAGTTAGAAAAATTAGTACCTAGGTTTTTTCTCCTAGGTACTAATTTTTTTAACTGATTTATTTTCTCTACACAAGCCCCTGTGCCTGTACCAGGCCCATCTTTCAGTTTCAACACATGCCATAGATATAATGTTAGATTTACTTGAATCTCTTATTATTAATCTGTCAAAAAATATCCCAAATAAAGTTATTACATATATCTGGTATAAAAAGAAGTTGAAAATCTTACAAACTTACAGAAAATATAAGCAGTTGAAAACAGTCTGTTTCTAATCCGCATGATGACGTAATTTGTGACGTATGGCCTTCCATAAAAAAACTAGCTTTGGTTCCATAAAGTAAATTTATATATATCACTTAGTCATCAGCGTTCGTCTTTGAAGCGGAGATACATTTTCAAGATAAAGATTTGAACGACGAAAATTATAAAAATTAACGTATTTCCCGATTCTTTGATGAATACGAAACTGAATAGCCAGGCTCCATTTGCACTTCCTGTTACAGAAAAAAAAAAAACCGAGTCAGCGAGAGCTCCTTTCTATCGTTTGTTTCAGACTTTCCTTTTGGCTGATTGTGATGTAATTCCTTCAATCAATGGTAAATATGCATGCTTTGTTAACTTCATTGTTTGTCATATTTTGTGTTTATAATGCATATTTTTACTGATAATTCAATTTGCAACGAAATCTTTCAGAGTAAATTTGGATTTTGTTTTCATTTCAGGTTTTACCTAACGCAGCCAGGTGAATCGAATGTTTTTTTTATGCTTATTGACATCTATTTAAAGGTTTACTAAATTTTGGGTAAGTAATTAAAAGTTACTTTTATTTTAACTAACTGTCATTACAAGTCTCTACACATGTGTCACAACAAAATACACAGACTGTGTGTTTTGTTCTGACACATATGTAAAGACTTGTAACCACAGCTTCAATAGACCAAGTGTATCCTACAAAATAATTTAGACATAGGATGATAGGTCCAACAAAAGGTTCCACCTCTAGGGGATTAATTTGAGGTCCATGCAAAAAAAATGTAACTGTTGTATTTGATTTATTCACAGTTGAGGTACTATTCTAATTATTCTATCCAGTCTGAGATTAAAAAATCAATCTTTTCAGTATTGTACTGTTGTAAGTAATTTATTAAAAATTCATCAATGACATGTTTATTGTCAACCAATAGGAATATCACAATTAAAATGAAACATTTTATCTCATTTGGTTCAATAGCAGCCTGCTATCAGGATATATAGAGTAGGTCAATAAGACACTGTATGTGTTGAATATAAAATACATGGTTACTGTCTTGAAATATAAGCGATATTTGGGCGAGGGTAAGGCCATCCTTAAAAAATTGTTTGTTTGGAATTGCCGCCTGAAGGGTTTCAGACACAGGGGGGAGGGAGGGACTTTTTTTTTTAAATTGAGGATTAATTTTAAATTGTTTTAAAAATCTCAGAAAACAGTATAAATACCTCGGTACATCTTCTGACTTAAAAAAAAAGAAACGAAGGAACCCAATTTGCATAGATCTGACACTATATTTCAGTGTTTTGTATGGTGCATGTGATGCATGTAATGGGCAAAAAAATTGATTAAATAAAAAAAAAATCTTCCTACTTTGGTCAATAAAATTTTTTCAGGAGGGGGGCA